ACTTCCTTCTTGACAATAAACTTTCTTGGAGCTGTGAAGTATTGTGCTTTGTACTGTAAAAATAAATCTGTGATAAAAACCTATTGTATTCATGAAATGGCTTATGATAAAATCCAAAACTATGTTTTCAAATTTGTAAGAGACTCTATAGTTTGTTTACTGGCTAGATTAATTATAGCAAGATTCATGAGGACATAACTGGTGGATTAATTAACATAAGTTCAGTAAGCAAGTTCAATATTAAGGGCAAAGCACTCTCAAAAGTGCAGTTTCCTATAACACACATTGAGTCCTAAGGACGTGCATGGGTCACTGTTCATGGGAGGTGGTTATTTAAAAATCATTGCAAACACTTTTTCCCCTCTTGGTAAACAGACTGGATAAAAATTAAATTTCTTGATGACAAGATACAAAATAAGCATAAAAATTAAATTGTACAAAAACCTCACATTCTTGGCCAAGGCTTTCTCTTTTTGTGGGGAACATTTTCAACCCTGTCCTTCATCTTTAAAACAAAGGGTCATGTCAACAATGTGCTTTCTTTCTTTTTTCCTTTTTTTTTTTTTCTTGCCTTTATACATAGCTCTAGTTTAAAAACCGTTTTGCTTCATGACATACAGTTTTACTGGTAATTTTAAACAAGGCTGAATCAAAATATTTGGGGTTTATAATTTCCTGTTTATTTGAAGCCAAATGTTCTAATTTAGAATGATTGCTCTCCAGGCCTGCTTAGCAGCCACTGCCGATCACTATTAGTCTTGGGTTTCAAGCTGTCGTTTTTCTTATTATTAACTCTCAGCTTCCTGGAGCACATCCTCCTGTTACCCACTACATCTTCCTTGTGTTCTTTTGCATCTGAGATCTCTGCGATGAGGTTTGACTTGGAATAGAATTTTATGGTTAAAAAAAGAGGAGTTGTCTGTTTATGTGTTTATGCAGTATTAATAGATTTTCATTTTACTTCACTGTGATTACAGAATACAGAGTATAATGTCCAACTTATGGGAACTAAGTTTTTCTTCACAGCCTGTAAGATTAATTTTTTTGAATGCTATCTGAGTACTTGAAAAGGAAGCATGTTTTCTGTTATAAGAACAACTATCTTGGTAAATATTTATGATACAAATGTTTCAAATTATATAGTTCATATTACTTACCGTCTTATTTATTTTTGCTTACTTGATCCATCAAGACTTAGTTGCCTTGGGGCTGGGGATTTAGCTCAGCGGCATAAGCGCCTGCCTTGAAAGCAGGCAGTCGTGAGTTCGATCCCTGGTACCGATAAAAACGAAAAAGACAAAAAAAAAAAAAAGACTTAGTTGCCAACTATGAATATGTTTCTGTTATTTATATTTCTTATGAATGATTTAACACATTAAAATTGACATATTCTTCATTAGGAAACAAACTCTTATTAGCACAAAGTGATCTAATTTGCCTTTAAAATGTTTTGATTTGATCTTTATTTCATCTTATATAAATATTTTGGAATGTTATACTTAAGTTTGCAGTAGCTGTGTTTGCCTTTAACGCTGCTGTTATTTTTAGATGATGGCTTAGCAATTATTGTTATAATTGTATCTGTTCATACTTCTGTTACCTTTTTATATACCATTTCAATTGTTCTTGAATTTAACAGGACCATATCAAACATCACACCCAAGTCTTTCTGTTTAAAGAAAATATCTACTTTTGTTTGCTTTAAACTTTAGGGTTTAGTTTTATTGAATTGATCATTGTGACCATTTGATCACATGAATTATTTTTAAGTCTTGCTTTTAGTATATGTAGTATCAAATTTGTATTATCATAAATATTGATTTAAATTATTTCCCTGTTACCAGAAGTCATCTTCATCATTATTATCTATGTTTCCTCATCCTTTTCAAAAATTATTTTTTGAGTATAGATTTAAAGCAACTGTCAATTACTATAATAATAAATTTGTACATGTCTGAAAATCTCTTTATGTTTCTAAAGATAAAATATTGTATCAGAACCTCTCTTCAAATGCTGCCACACTATAGTCTGCCAGCATTAAATGTCAAGGGAAAAGTCTAATCTTTATTTCTGCCTTAATGGTTTTAGGATTCTTTATTATTTCTTTAAAGCATAATTTTCACTGAAGTCTAAGTAATTTTCTTTGTTGAATTTACCTGATTCATGACATGGTATTTAAAGCATATAATTCGCCTTTTCTCATTTCAGTAAGATTTTCTTTTTGCACATCTTTGCGTATTCATTCTGTTCCACTTGTCTTCTCATATACTGGTTAAGTCCCCTTTCCAATTTTGTTGCTCATATTCTTCACTCTTGTCAATTTCATCTCCTTCTTCTTTGCATCCATTCATAGAAAACTTCATAGTTCTGCCTTCTATAGCATTGATTTTGTTTTGATTGGGTGAATTCTAACATTTATTCTTCTCATTCTAATTTTAAAGCTAACACTAAATTTAGTTCTCCTTGTTTAAAATCTTCTATTTCATATGCAGAAATAGAATATTATGTTAGAAATATTTTTACATGTCTTTTAACCAACTTCATTATCATTTTAGTTGACTGTCTTCTCACCTTGTCTCTTGTTTCACAAATATTATTTATTTTTTACTTTTTTGAGAACATTATATGGATACTATTTAAAGTTTATGGGTTATTTGTACTTATTTCTAAAAGCTAGCTCCTCATAACATCTCATTTTATGCTATTGCTATTGCTTTAGGGTTAATAAACCAAGGATAAGAAACTATCCAAAATTTAAATTTGCTATGGATTTCCTCATTACTTTCTAGGATAGAGCCAAAGTTCTGGTTAATGTATTTATGTTAGCTCATCAGTTCAGTGATTTGGTAGCCAGAAGACAAGAAAGAATCAACAAGAAAGATTTAGGATGTGTGGTTTCTTGTCACTATTTAGTGACAACTACTGTGCCAGAGGCCAACTTTTGATAGCTAACTTTGTCTTCTGAGTGAATTATAGGTGGACTTATATTTACCTTCTCCTGGACTCTAGTGGTGGAGCTACATTTACCTTCTAGATTCTAACGCCTCCAGTGTCAGGGAGAGGTTGAACCCTGGAGAGAACATCTGTTTCTGACTTTGTATCCTGGAAAGCTCCCTGTTTTGTTTGCCCTTGAATTTCTTCATGGGGTTATTTTGGCATGGCTGTTCATTGAGGGAAATCTCTAAGTAGAGATTTCTTAATTTTTCTTTGACAAGGTCTCCATATTACTTATTGTCTGAATTGGAATAATTATAAGGATGAAAGAAGGTTCATTTACAATTAAGCTAGTAAAATCAGGTCGAACTGAGATTATCTTAATCATCTGGAGTAGATGGTCATCCTACATGTGACCTGCCACTATTTTTAACTGCTACCCCTTCACTGTAGTGAGCATTACTAGGACTCTATGAGGTTACTCTCTATTTCTAATATATACAGATCTAATAACAATCTCCAGTAAAACAATACTACTGGTACTCATTGATAACCACTTATTGAGTACTTACCATCAGGGTAATTTATTTCAAGGTTCCAGAAGAAAGATTTTACATCTCTATATGGGAAATTCATTCTCAAATTTCCAGGAAATTTCTGTCACTCTCACCACTTCTGGAGATTTCACTGATATTCTTGGAGAAGAGGAAAGACAAGAGCCACTGCTTGCCTCTTTCTTGACTCTTCCCTATCCCTTCTTTCATTTTATTTCTATTCTGAAAAGATACGGGTTGGTCACTTCATATGGGGTATCTTTCGTTCTCCAATAAAGATTAAACTCACTGAGAGACAGAATCTCATCTTTTCCTTGTTTGGCATCTCTCATGGCTTCTAGTTTGATACATGCAGCTCCTGTCCTGACATATTTCCTGCCACACGCTAAGCTTTGCCTGAATGATGTAATACTGCACATCAGTTTTGTTTTTCTTAGAACAAACATCTTGAGCCTCCCTTATGTGAGTTGTCATTAGAATTTAGCTTCTGATCTGATGTTGCTGTAACAGTTGGGTTTTATTTGAAATTGAATTCCATATTTCATCTCAAGAAGTAGATTAAACAATTGGCTTCGGGTATGTTTTTCCTCGCTTAAAGGAAAGTGAAAATGTAAACATCTTAAAGCAGATCCTAAATCTGAAGAGAGTTCTTGTGATGACATATTATGAAAGTAGAATTCAGTGTTGAGAGATTCTCAAGTTGAGCAGAGACAGTCCATCATTCTGAGGGCACTGAGACGTCCTTTGCCCTACGATTTGGCCAACACCTTTGTTTCTGTCTTGTGCCTTCTGTTTTTGAATTTTATAATTATTATTTGATATGATTGAATTATGTTAGATTGACAAGTTTTTTCTTCAAAAGGAAGTTTATATATCTCAGCTATTTCCTTAAAGATGTGAAGAAAATGCAGCATGCATCATTTGCACCATCTTGAACATGAAAAATGGGAAGCAGAATTTTAAAAGGCTTCTCTTAATGAATCACAAACTTCTTAATGATTATTTTTTAAATAAAACCTAGTACCTGCAGAAATATCTAAGATACCTGGTTCAGCTCACTATCCATTCAGACTTATAATTAGGTGTCACCTCCATTTGGGGACTGCTTATCTGATCAAAATTGGTCAGGTATTGTGTTATAAAACCCCTTTACTATAAAAAGAGGAAAATGACAGAGAGAAGTTAGTTCCTGTTCATGTAGTTCATAGGTGCCTCCACAGCAGTTGGTGCAACTTAAATTTGTTTGATATATTTTCTACTGCTTACACAGCATCTAGTATAATTCATGGTTAATGGCACATGCTTGCTCTGAATTTTCTAACTTGAACTGAATTTTAGTTGTTCACTTTTGCAGAATTAGGCTATGTCTGAACACCAGTACTTATCCATGGATTGGTATGTCCTTGGGCTAGAGAGCAGGATGTCTGGTTTTTTAAACTGGAAACCAGTTTCTTTGCAGTAACAAGGAAAGAGTGGAGACCACTCAGCATGGAAGCTGCAGCAGGTTTAAAAATGGGTGATGTTGAGAAAGGCAAGAAGATTTCCATACAGAAGGGTGCCCAGTACCACACTGTAGAGAAGGGAGGCAAACACAAGACTGGGCCATATCTGCATGGTCTGTTTGGGAGGAAGACAGATCAGGCTGCTGGATTCTCTTAAGAATAAACGATCACCGGGAAAAAGGGTAAGTTGATGGAGTATTTGGAGAATCCCAAGAACATCCCTGGAACAAAAATTATCTTTTCTGACATCAAGAAGAAGGGAGAAAGGACAGATCTAACGACTTACCCTAAAAGGGCTTCTAATGAGTAATAGTCACTGCCTTATTACAGAACAGAAATGTCTCATGGCTTTTTATGTGTACCATAACTTACTTAATACATCTCATACACCAGAAGTTAGATCATGAGTAGCTGACAGAATATTTTTGTTGGATAGTCCTGATTTAAGTAAAACTGGCTTGCAGTTAAATGGATTTTTTCAAGTTTTGATACTAATTCCAATTCAGTAAATATTATCACTGTTTTCCCTTTCTAAGTACATGGTTGGATTTGATTAGTAATGTTTGACTTTTCACAAAAATTGAGAATGTCATCTCAAAACTTAAGGAATGTTGGTTTATATTTAGCTTTATATAACCAGTTAAATACTGGGAAAATCCTTCATTATCTCAAAACCAAGCAAGACTCCTCTGTTTCAATTTGTGCTTATTAGTCTGTTAAACAGAGTGTTTGAAGACAAGGAAGCAATGTCTATATTTTTGGTCTTGATGATGCCAATTTAATTAGAATTCCTTGTATCAAAAAATGCTGCCTTTTACTGTTTAAAATTTCTCACATTTTATAGTTGATCTATAATTTCAGATCTTTTTAAAAGCTGGTATGATACAATAGTAAGTTAGACTTTACTTTTGAATTTTTTAGGTCAAACTGAGTTATTATTCAGGATAGTATTTAAACAGCTATTTAAAAAGACAGGACTGAAACTCCTGTTGCTTGTGTGGTTGGTAGTGGTGCTTCCTGTCAGCTTATTAGAAGGGTTAAAGTGGGGAAGGTACGATATGAGCATAAATTTGTATGTGACCATAATGCTTAATTAAAAATAAAAGCAGATTAAAGAATAATTAGACTATGTCACTTATAAGAACTTTGAAGAAGTTGCTCATCCTAAAAGCTTTCTTATTTCAGTTCACCTCATGCTATTTCTTTTCATAAAATCACTGCATTCAATTTTAAGTTATCCTATAAAGTAAACAAAAAAGTCAAATTACTTGGTTTTCAATTTCATGACTTTTTTCTTAGACATAATCTGGATTTTTAAAGCTACATTATATATTATCAAAATCTGATTTGTTAAAAAGACATACTAACTTTGGAATAGTATCTGCAGGGTTTTATCTATCTAACACTTTGTTACAAATTTCACACTTTAAATTATTATATTGTGTGACCTTTGTTTTCCTCTAGTGTGTGGTGAGCTCAGTAAATTACCAGGGATGGAACCGGGAAATGATCATCTGCAAAACCTGATGGCTTATTATTTGATAAATTTCATACTGAGAAAGTCTTAGAATTGCAAAGACAGCATCAATTTTGTCCTAACATCTGGGACAGCAGAGCTTCCATGTAAATAGAAAGTATATAAAGTTTCTAGAATCATATTTAGTATTTCCAGAGAAAGAGAAAAAAATGCAGGTAATAAGTTGGGGCAGAGGACTATCATCTAAGTCTTGGAGTAGATTCGGCTTCCTGGGCACCTCTGGGAACTCATTCCTCAAGGCTCCAGGAGAGCCCTGTTAGGGCTGCTTTTGGCCATAGTCTCAGCCCTTCCCAAGGAGCATGGTACAGAGTGATGAGACATACTCAGCTCATAGCCCCCCTGCTGAGCTTCCCTCGGCCCTACTGGACTCCAGAAGAGTAAGTTTTCCCCTGAACTTCATGAAAGCTACACAGTTAGATATATTCATCTAAGAGTGTCTCCTGGAGACAATATCTCATGATAAAGGGGCAGAACAGTAACTTGTAGATGTTGACTTCTGTCTCTGGGCATTCTTCCTGCTGTGTGCTTCAATTCCAACAGCAACAAGGATCAGGTATTATTATGGCCATGCAGAGGTAAAGTACTACTATTGCTCTGCATGTTTCCCAAACTGGTATCTGTCTTTTATTGTGCAAAGTGATCAGCTACACTTCAAGCCTGCATCCTAAGGAAAGGAGCACTGTTCTTAGAATCAGGAGTTTTGACTCCAAATGTACAATTCAACAAGAGTTTAGAAAGTCTCAATCTCTATCACTCTGTTTTTTCTTAACTATTGGATAGATCACTAATGTCTAGGTCACAAATCTACTGCATGCTGCCTAAAAAACATTGTGTGCATTTCAATATCTTGTAAATAAGGGCATTTATTAACATGCTATGTTAATTCTTCTTTAGATTCAAAACCTCCATTTTCCCCCTTGCTTTAAATTATATTTTTTACTATTATGACTCAGCAGCAAACTCAAGAAATATTTATTTGCTTATTTATTTAATTGGCTGATTATAATGCCTGTGAGGTTTGAAATTCTCTCATCTCTGAGGTACAAATAGTGGTGACTCTATAAATAAAATGTGTCTGTCATTGTGTTCTTGGTCTAGAGCAGACCCAAGTTCTTTGGCTTCCCCAGGAGATTCTGAGAGATTGTATTAATGACTCATGCTGAGGGTCTACCAGATACAGAATACAAGGAATCTAACTCAGGCCCTGAGTCATTCCCCGGGAAAGAAAACGAATCATGACAACCCACTTCCGGATGTCACTCCTGTGGTTTCCCCACAGCTGCAGTAGACTGGGGTTTTTACTAAAAGAAACAACGTCTTTTGCCATCCCCTCCCCTGAGCTGACTAGCTAGGAGAAAGTCCTAGGTGCAGCTGCCCTGACAGCTACAGTTGAGGGGAGATGGTTCTAGATTGAATTTCTCCAAAATACTATGTAGATGATAATCAGACTCCCACTCTTTTTCCTTTATGTGTTTAATCAGTTAGGCTCCTCCCACATTTAACCTTCCAATCATTTATGATTTAAATCTATTTAGAAATAATAACTCCATTTTAAACAAACCGCCTCGGTCCACTCTGATGACTCTATTTCAATGCCCTTTGTTTTGCTATGACCACCGGAAATGTGAGATTACAAATGAATTTCAGCTCATGAGCCCTTATTCACAAATACCCTTTCCCAGTGAAGTCATGGCAGGTAGGGGTAGACACTCAGTAAGTATTTGTTAAATGTGTGCACGAATGAGGAAGTTATGACTGGAATTTTTCCAAGGCCCGGGGAGAGCAGTTGCTGTTTTTACCTGTTTTCCTTCTGTAGAAAGATCCCTCTGGCTAGGCTCTGAGCTTTCCTCACTCCTTTTTACTTCCGGGGACCATGCTGTGTGCTGCCCATATCCTCATCGCCCAGTGCACTCTCACATGCAGCTCACCCTGCAGAGCGGATCCTAGCTCAGCCTCCAGAAGTCGGCCTGAGGAAGCACTGCGCTTGTGTTCTGAGCATGGAAGTGATTACCGTAAAAGACGTAAGGAGGATTACGGCAGGAATGCTCTCCAGATCTGCACATTTAGCAAGCCGTGCTGTTTTGTATTACAAAATCACATTCTGTTCTGCAGCTCCTCTGTAGCTGTTTGGTGTTGGTCATGGATTTGTGAGAGACTGGGGTCAAAGTCGGCAATGTTTACAAACATGGGAGGAATGTCAGCAAGATACAGCCAAATCCAAATACGATCTTCATGTGTTTTAAGTGGCTCGTCACTTGACTTACAACCAGAAATTGTGATCCCTGGCTAACACAAGGTGTTCCCTGCCCTTAAACGGGGTAACCGAATCAGAACTTGCTTATGCACTTCAAGTGCTGGCAAGCCTGCCCATTCCTCATGCCAGAGTTTCTGCCTAATACCTGGTAAACTAAGGTTTCAAAGGAACCACAGAAGCCTGGAGCATTTATGAGTGCACGACGAATTAAGAGGTTGGAAATACTTGTAAGCCATCAGAACCGGGCCAGTGAAATTTTCAAGCAGCCTCAGCCTGGGGTGTCAGTGATCAGGAAAAAGCAGCCGCTGACATCCAGAAGCAGGTTGTGATGATTCGTTTTCTTTCCTGAGGCATCATGCTCACATGGGACCACTGTGTGCTTCTCTTCCCCTTCCCAGACAAGGCACCTCTCGTGACTCTCAGGTGGGAACTTTGTGCCAGTTACTGCTTGTCCAGCGGAGCAGGTTCAGAAGCAAAAGTGGTGAGAGAGTTGATTTGGTTTTCATATTTAAAACCAATCAGAGTAGTTCAGGGACAAATCTGTGGCTTTGTGGGAATATACAGGCAGGTGATTAAGTCTTCCCTCAAAGAAGCATAGTGCCCATGACAACAGTTTTATGGAGACTACTTTTGCAATTTCCGATTTGAGTTCTATTTGGAGTCTGAAAGAGGAGTCCAAGGAGGGGTCTCAATTACACTGCATGCTTCCTTCCTCTCTTCCAAAAAAGAATAAAGTGCAATGATTTTGGCATCACCAAACTGAACTTAGAGTAACATGACCTCTATAACACCACTAAAACATTAAAACTAAGATTCCCATTGAGGGGGAGGATTGATATAGATGTGACCCTGGACGAAAAGCTTTTGGAGAAAATCACATCCTTAAAGGGGTCTTGAGACCTGAATCCAAGCTGGGTCTAAGTTATATGTCTTGGAACTTAGGAGTGAGTATCCCACAGCTGGATGTGGGGAGTTGAATCAACTGGGTCACCTCAAGGTGCTTTTCAAACACTCTCCTCGTGTTCTCTGTCAGCCACTTAAGCCCCTTTCTGAGTGTTTCCCATAACTGCTGCTAATGGGAGAGCACAGGGAGAGACCCAGAGAGCCATGAGGAAAAGAAGGCAGGACAGCTGTATCCGGGTTAGGAGTGGATTCAGTCTGAAGGCTGTAACAATTATATTCCACTCTTCTCCATGTGGATTTCTGTATCACTTTGATCTCAGCCCAAAGGAAAAAGAAAATCAAAGAATGGAATAAAATAACTGCATGCAAAAGTTTCCAATCGAGGGAAGAAGAGACCAGATCAACATGTTTCAAAAAGAGCTTTCTGGAGAGGCAAAGATGTGATAAAATTCAAGTCAAAAAGATCATCCAGAGTACACCAAGGACGCGGGGGGAAACAAGACTGTGTTTATGGGATCTTTGGGAAAGAACCTATAGAGAAATGATGTAAGACCTTGCTAAGAGGGTCAGGAGTCACTGGAGCATGATTTAACTCTACAAGGTTTGCACCTTTCTG